GGCCGGCGCGCTGCGGCCGGCGCACCACGCTGATCCAATGGCAGGAGCCAGGTGCTTCTCCTGGTCTCCCATGGGGTGCAGGGCCCAAGCACCTGGGCCATCCTCCACTGCACTCCCTGGCCACAGCAGAGAGCTGGCCTGGAAGAGGGGCAACTGGGACAGAATCTGGCGCCCCAACCGGGACTAGAACCCGGTGTGCCAGCGCCGCAAGGTGGAGGATTAGCCTAGTGAGCTGCGGCGCCGGCCTGCAAGGTGGGATTTTCAAAAATGAATGTCACGCAGAAAGATTTGAGCCCTTTCTACAGCCTTCAGGGTCCTGCTCCCGGGCTTCAGCTCACCACTGATATCATACACTAATGTTCCTAGAGCATTTAATGAGAGAGCTACTAGGTGGCACAATAATTCTAACTTTCTAAGTTTATATCCTTTGATCCAGTCACTTCTGGGAATCTCTCCAGAGGGGACAATGTAGTCTCTAGAAAAAAAGCTGTTCCACTAAAAACAATTATTGCTGTTTTATATATTCAATAAACAAATTGAATACTCAATTGTTATTTTATTACTGCCAGTATATTGTTGGACTCACTGTGAGTCATGGGTAAAATATGGTGATAATTGCTACCTCCAAAGTTTGTGGGGCAGGTGTTTAGCCCAGCAGGTGAGATGCCCTCTAAGATACCTGCAACTCGTATCAAAGTAGGTTTGATTCCCCATTCCAGTTCCTGTCTCCAGCTTCCTGTCAGTGCAGACCCTGGGAGGCAGCAATGAAGGGTCAGGTAATTGGGTTCCTGCCCCTCAGTGGGAGACCTGGACTGAATTCCTGGTTCCCAATTTTGGCCTGGCCCAGGCCCAGCTGCAGGCATCTAGGGGAGCGAGCCAGCAGATGAGAGCTCTCTCTGTCTCTGTGTCTCACAAACAAGCAGGATTGAATGTCTATGGAAATATTTCCCTATCACTGGGCCTGACACATAGTAAGTGTGTTCTGCATGAGTTCATCTCTGTTTTCTTTTTTTTTTTTTAAAGATTTATTGAGGGTGAACCAACAGCAAAGGAAGACCTTTCTCTCTCTCTCTCTCTCTCTCTCTCTCTCACTGTCCACTGTGTCAAAAAAATTTTTTTAAAAAGATTTATTTATATGAGAGGCAGAATTATAGAGAAAGGAGGAGAGACAGAGAGAAAGATCTTCAACCATTGGTTCAGACACCAAATGGCTGAAGCCAGGAACCCAGAACTCTATCCTGGTCTCCCACATGGACAGCAGGGACCCAAGTACTTGAGTCATCTTCTACTGCTTTTCTTAGGCTCACTGGCAGGGAGCTGGATTGGAAGAGGAACAGCTGGGACTCAATCAATTCTCATATGGAATGATGGTGCAGCAGGCAGTGGCTTAATCCACTGCCCCACAATACCGGCCCCCACCTCCCTCTTCTAATTGTGTTGCATTTTCGTGTGTGTGTGTGTGTGTGTGTGTGTAGGAGGACTTCAAAACCTTCATGGAAATTGAATGAAAAAGTACATTTATTTTTATGTGAAACTTTTCTGAAATCTAGGCAATATTTTTCATAACACATTTCCGTGAATTTCTGAAGATCCCTCATATATGCACATATGTGATAATCTACCCAGATTTTCTAGAATCACCCATCCCCTCACCTTGAACTTAATCGGATCAACAACCGTTACCTCCTCTCTTTCCCTGCAGCATTCAGATAGTGAGTAGCTGGGCTGTCCTAACCTTGTCTACCGGCAAGCATCCTTTCCTTGGTGTTAATCACTGCCTCTCCTGGTTCCCAGGCACCCCAGTCCACTGTCCATATGGAGTACAAGAGCCTCTGACTGCCTCCATGCTGGCCGCAACATCTCCCACCCTACAGGAACAGTAGCAGATACTGGTGAGTACAGCAGAAGAGGACAGACAGCAGTGACCACTCTACTGGGAGGCGATTTGGTTCTTCATGAGCTGTCCCACCCACAGGAGAACGATTGTTCCCGCTCATCCAAACGATGCACTCAAACCTGGCGGGCAAGATCACGGGAATGCTGCTGGAGATCGACAACTCGGAGCTGCTGCACATGCTGGAGTCCCCCGAGTCTCTCCGCTCCAAGGGGAGTGGTCCTCAGACCCCACAGCTTCAGCTCCCAGCTAGGACATCACGGTATCCTTGGACACTGTGGATTTAACGTGGACTGGTACCTGCAGAGAGGCCTAAGTCAGCAATGAAGCTGTCCAGTGTGTGAAGATGCCCAACAGCTGGTTCCCAGACAACATGACCTTTCAATGAACTCTAACCTTGACCAAGGCAGCATCTACTGTACCTTAAGAAAGAGTGAGCTTTACGACTTAGGGCAATAGCCCATTGTTTGCCTCTCCCTCCATACAGATAACAATGAGTGTAAGAATGCAACATAACCCCTTGTATCAATAATCAAGTCTGCTAGCTTTGACCAGGTATTCTTCAGTTTTCAGTGAAATTCTTCAATTTTCAATGTGTTTGATAACCACACATAAATCTGTATTGTTTAAACCCAATTCAATGCATGCACCCACCCTGTAAAAAAGGTATGAAGTCTGTAACGAAACTCACGTTGCGGAACAGCCACTCAAGCATCTGACTGGGTGCTCCTAGCTGTAAACCCTCAGTTGACCAGCTGCATAAACTAACACTTTGATTCTCTACCAGACTGATTGTTGCTGTTGACAACACCTAAGTGCAGCAGGGAGAATGGTTGCCTTTGTGTTTCTAACGTCATCAGAAATTACCAGATAGAAAGGGCAGGGTGTGCTGTAAATTATAAAGGCCAAACAAGAGTTTCCTTAGAGTTTTTGGACAACAATCAGTTCTGTAGTTCTCCGAAATCAAGTGGGTTTCCAACAATTCAATTCAATTCTGACACTACCCAGAGTGAACACAGACCCCACAGGTTAAGGGCTCAGTCCCACAAGACTGTTTCCACTTCAGACACTAATCACAAATGGGTTTCCCATGCTATCCACACTTCTGCTAAGTTGACTATAAATTTTGGAGTTTCCATGACCCCTCAGTTTTGACAACTCACTAGCAGTCACAGAGCTCATGAAAGAGGGATACTATGATTAAGTTAGTTATAAAGGCCTGGCTAAATGGAAGAGATGTGTAGGGCAAGGTGGACTGGAGGCAACATGCAGGGCTTTCATGCCCTCTCCAGTCATGCCACCCTCCAAGCACATCGACATGTTCCCTGGCCTGGAAATTCCCTGAACTCCATCTAGAGTTTGAATATGGGGTTTAATTACCTAGGCACGAGTGAGTAGGTCATTAGCTATTGGAGACTGAATTTCTCTCCTCTCCTCTAAGATCAGAAGGTGTGGCTGAAAGCTGTCTAGGGGTTGTACTGTGTGTGTCACTTAGCATGAACTCAAGTATGGTCAAATTAGGCTCATTACAAATAACAAAATGACAAACAAATACTCTTCTAGGGAAATCACAAGGTTTTTAGGAACTGGAGACAAAAACCAAATATGTTTTTTTTTTAAAATTCTACCACACTCACATAAAGGATATCAGGTCAGATTCTTCTTGTGGGTCTGCAGTAGTGATGGTACAAAAAGAGTTCTTCTGATCAGATCACAAAGCTCATTTCTAATGAGCATCATTTCTTTGTATGATCTGAGTTTGGTGAGGTGGGCTATGTGTGCAGCCACTGCTTAGTTCTGGGAACACAATGGTTACAGGACTTGGTGTCAAAGATCTTGGTCCAGTAGGAGAGAGATACACACCTGACTGCAGCTATAGGTGGTGTTCCAATCAACCTCTGAACTTGGGGGCCCAATGACTCTGTTTAGAGGGGATTAGACAACCGACCTTTAACTGGGATCTCTGACAAGACTAGTAGATGCCTCCAGGTGGAAAAACAAGAGAGAACTCAATGAGCAAAGGCAGAGGCAAGGAAAAAGAGCACATGGTAAGGAGGTGAAGAGGAGGTGTGGAGGTTAGGTGCACCTGGGGTAGGTGCCTTGCCAAGTGTCTTGTTATCACAAGCAGTGATTGAAACAGGGGCTCTAGAGAACAAGCTGGAAGGTGGGTTGGAGGGAGAGAGCCACCTTCAGCTCTTCCCTCGTCTACCACACTAACCTGGACTCCAGGGTTCCAACCAATCTGTTCTGGGAACAGTGGTCAGAGCACCATTTTAAAATATCAGTGTGATCATGTAACTTCAGAGTTATAACCTCTTCTGTGACTTCTCAGGGGCCCCCAAATCCTCCACAGGGCTTACAGGACCCTGCAACATGTGGCCCCTGTCCACCTCCCTGCTCCACTTCATGCACTTCACTCCCACCACCCATTGCGTTGGTTCTCTGGATCTTGGAGTGTGCAGAATCTGTCTCCTCTTTCTGAAATCTTTTTCTCTTCTGCCTCCTCTCTGGCTCCTTTTCTTTCAGCTTTTAGATAAAATGTCACCTCCAGGAGGTCCGAACCTACAACTCTATTTAAAATAAACACACGTGGTCCCATTGCTTTCTACCACTCACGTTAATTTGTGATTTATATATAAGTAGGTTCAGTCCAAGAGTCAGCAAACCTTTTCCCTAAAGGGCTAGACGGTAAATAGTTTATTATTTTATTTGTTTTGTAAATGAATAAATATTTTAGGCTTTGGGAGCCATAGGGCTCCTGCTCTTGCAGCACCCAAAAATCACCAGATAATGGCTGTGAACCAATAAAACTTTACGGACAAACACTAAAAATTCAGCTTCGTGAAATTTTCGCGGGTCACGAAATACTCCAGTTTCAATTTTCCGACTTTTCCAACTAATTTAAAACGTAAAAACCATTCTTAGCTTCCGGGCTGTCTAAAAATAGGTCATTAGGGCGGCCCAACCCACAGACCGCATTTTACTCATAGTTGATCATTTGCCCACAACGCCTGGGCTGATTCCGTCAAGCTTCGTTTCCCGCTACACCGTCTGCACCGGGACTGAGTGACCCAGGCCCATTTATTCCACCACGCAGCAGGCAGCTCACGCAGCCCCGCCCTCGGCTCGGCCGAACGCGGGAGGGGCGGGGCCTGTGAACGCTTGAGGCGGAAGGGGGCGGGTCGAGCGCCGACTTCCGGCGGAAGAGCGCGGGAGCAAGATGGCTACTACTAAGCGCGTCCTGTACGTGGGTGAGCAGGCGCGGGTGCAAGGCGGAGTCTGGGAGAACCGGGCCCCAAGTTGGGTTGGGGGTGTGGGGCGGGATTCTCTCCATACTGGGAGGGTGGCGAGCGGCCGCCAAGGCCTGGACTGTGTCGCTGTTGCTTCACCTCAGGTGCTAACCTGAGACGTGACGATTGTGCTTAGCTTCCTTCCTAGTCCGCCAAGCTCCAACAAGGTCCCGGAGGAGCGCTAGAGGAGTACTGGGGTCCCCAAAGCCTCGCGCCCATTCATTTTACATACAGTGATTTTTAGCAATGGCTTAGCCCCAGCCCTTGCCCTGAAGAAAAAAGTTCCCAGTCTACCCCCCAAAAAACTGGGAGTAACCTCAGCAGCACGGTTTGATAAGCGCCGTGGTCTGGACGGACAATGAACACGTGGGCATAGGCGCGGGGAGAAGTGACCATTCATTTGGAACGGTGAGGGCCACCGTTCCGGATGCGGTAATGGCGGAGCTGATGAGTAGTAGTTAGCAGCTTAGCCAAGGTAGAAGCAAGGCTGTTCTCTGCAAAGGGGCAATAAGAGCAGAAGCCCAAAGTTGTGAAATAGCCGGACACTTGGGGGCACAAGTGGGCCGTGTGTCGGGAAACTTAGGGAGTTGGAGAAGTAAGGCAAAAGAAGTTGGAGAGGTGGGCAGGGCTCGGGTTATGAAGACCCTGTGTACACTGCTTAGGCGTTAGTACTTCATCCTGTGGGAATCCTTTGAAGGCGCTAAGCAGATGGGTCACGGATTCAAATCTGCAGATTTCTCCCAAGTCATTCTAGTTGGCCTTGTGGCGTTGACAGAGGCAGTGGTGGTCAGTGGCAAAACTGTAACAATAACTTTAGGATTGGATAAGAGTCTGAAGGAAGGGTGAAGAGTGCTTCATAATGTGGGTGGGCGTTAGAGGATGCTCCGTAGGTAGATGAGAGAGGCGCTGTGTGTGTACCCCCTTCCCTTGGCTTAGCATGCCAGCTGGGCTGCAGGGACCTCTGCGGGGGTGTGGAGGACAGTGGCTCAGAGGACCCTTGGCTTGTTTGCAGGTGGGCTGGCAGAGGAGGTGGACGACAAAGTCCTTCATGCTGCTTTTATTCCTTTTGGAGACATCACAGATATTCAGATTCCTCTGGACTATGAAACAGGTGGGTTCTCTTAGTGACTCTCATGTTCGGACTTCTAGTAGCCACATGATTCTAAATGTGGCTTATATATAAGGAAGTTTGGGAGGGAGCCTCAGTGGGTCAGCATGGCAGTGATCTTGATGTAGAAGGAATGGTGTGAGGCCCTGTGGTTGGGAGTGGTAAATGCTTTGCAGAATTGCCATCTGTTAGGCTTGAGATAAGACAGATTTTTCAATAGACTAGGACTAGGAAGATGGGTTTTGAACTACATTGAAATCTAAATGTTGTTTCAAACTACGTGCTGGGTACCTGTCCCCATCACACCTGCTTCCCCCGACAGCTGTGCTGTTACACAAAGCAGCAAGAGAGCCTTCATCTTTGCTTACCTGGGTGAATTTCTCTTCAACTGGGATCACACTTACAATATCCTTTTTCTATTTTTACCTTTGTTGTCGTCTTCAGGATGAGTTTTAGGCCCAGCTCTGTCATCAACCATGCCTATGAATGGGGAATCTTTACTTGCAAAAGCAAAAAGGTTATATTGGCTTTCTAGGGCCCTTCTGTTCTCTGATTCTGTAATTAAACTAGCACTGTTCTTCTAGTTAGAAGAGGATTTTCCTGAGGATAATGACTGTGCATCCTTATCAACTGTTAGCACAGCTGATGCTCAGAAGGTATATTTGAATAAATAACTGATAGGTTAAATAACTTTATTTTTCTCCTTGTTTCGCATACAAAGCTTAAAGTTTGACTTCAGTGGAAAAATATTCAGTTTAAAGATTAAACTTGTAATTCATTATTTAACTATGTCCACTAAAAAACAAAGTTTATTATTGCCTAAAATGCCATTTTTTAAAATATTTATTTTATTTATTCGAAAGACAGTTACAGAGAGAGGTAGAGACAGAGGAGAAAGGTCTTCCATCTGCTGGTTCACTTTACAAATGGCCACAACAGCCGGAGCTGAGCTGATCTGAAGTCAGGAGCCAGTAGCTCCTTCTGGGTCTCCCACGTGGGTGCAGGAGCCCAAGACTTGGGGCATCCTCTGCTGCTTTCCCAGGCATATTAGCAGGGATCTGGATCAGAAGTGGAGCAACCAGTGTCCATATGGGATGCCAGCACTGCAGGCTGGGACTTTAACCTGCTGTACCACAGAGCTGGCCCCTAAAATGCTATTTAAGAATCAAAGAGTGAGGGACTGGCATTGTGGCATAGAGGATAAAGCTGCTGCCTGCAATGCCAGTATCCCATATGGGTGCCAGTTCATGTCCCTGCTGCTTCACTTCCAATTCAGTTCCCTGCTAATGACCTGGGAAAAGCAGTGGAAGATGACCCAAGTGTTTGAAACCTAGATGAAGCTCCTTTCTCCTAGCTTCAGCCTGGTTCAGCCCTGGTCTTTGCAGCCATCTGGGGAATGAGCCAGTGGATGGAAGCTCTTTCTCTCTGTCTCTCCCTCTCTCTGTGACTTTGACTGTCAAATAAATAAATAGATCAGCTGTGCTGATCCAAAGCCAGGAGCCCGGAGCTTCTTCCATGTCTCCCACGCAGGTGCAGGGGCCCAAGGACTTGGGCCATCCTCTACTGCTTTCCCAGGCCATAGCAGAGAGCTGGATCGGAAGTGGAGCAGCCAGGACTTGAACCAGCACCCATATCGGATGCTGACACTACACGCAGTGGCTTTTTTAAAGATCTATTTATTTGAATGATAGAGTGACAGAGAGAGAGAGAGACATATCTCCCATCTGTTGGTTCACTCTCCAAATGGCTGCAATGGTTTGGACTGGTCCAGGTGAAGCCAGGAGCCAGGAATCAGGCACTCCTTCTGGGCTTCCCACATACATAGGTGGTAGGGGGCCAAATACTTGGGCCATCATACAGTGCTTTCCCAGGTTACACTTGCTGCTTTCCCAGGTACATTAGCAGGGAGCTGGATCAGAAGAGGAACAGCTGGGACTCAAACTGGTGCTCTGACAAGGGATGCCAGCACTGCAAGCAGAGGCCTAACTGATCACACCACAGTGCTGGCCTCAATTACTTGGCTTTGTTTTTCCTTCTTGCAGAAAAGCACCGAGGATTTGCTTTTGTTGAATTTGAGTTGGCAGAGGTAAGAAATTCTGAGCTACCTGTGTTCAGTCTTTGTGCGTATTATTGTTACTGATTATAGAGAAACTTGTTCTTCAATTGGTTAGGTTTCTAGGCCTTAAACTGGTGCTTCTGCAGAGCCCAGAACTGCTGTGTGAAGGAAAACTTCTCTCACTTATTCAGACTGTGGCCTGTGAATAACTCAGCCTTTTGCCAGGCCCTGCCCATCTTGCCCTGCAGAGTTCCTGAAGTCCAGTCCATGAGCCTTGTTACCTGGCAGCACTGGTAATTGTTTCTTATACCTTCAACTATATGGCAGATTGCTGCACCACCAGCTCCAACGTCAGCCAGGAAGTGCTCTTTGCTAGACCCACATGTAGCTCAGACAAGAAGAGTAGAGGTGACTTTCTCCTGTCTTACTGCTCCGGGGTATGTGTTTAGATAGTATAAGAAGCTTTCAGCTGCAAAACTAGACTTAACACCTTGGTTTTTGTTTGTTTGTTTTGACAGGATGCTGCAGCAGCTATCGACAACATGGTATGGTCAAGAACTCTCTAACTGAATTGCTTTTCGGTGGTTCAGAGGGTCTGTATTCATAGGTTGGTTCTGTGAACCTCTAAACTTACAAGGTTCCGTGGGGAGATAAGAATCATCATCATCATGTGGAAATGTACACCAAAAAAATGTCCTCGCTCAGACATTCTTCCCACTTACTAAGAGTGTAAATCCCACTCATCTCTGTTGGCCAATCTTTCACTGGCTGCCCCATGTCTAGGATAATAAATTGCAAACAGTTGATTGCACTGTGAAACTGACTCTTTCGCAAAAGGGGTAGGATTTCATGAAGCACTGGACCAGTTAACATTTGAGATATTCATAAGGATAATGCAGGGCATACTCCTGCTACAGATGATTTGAATGTCCTGGAAAGGTCCTTGGGAAAAATGATGGTGCTTTTTAGTATTTGTGCCTCCCTGAGACCCATATACAGGTGCTCCTGGACTTGGGATAGAGTTACAATGGAAGTTGAAAATTACTTAAGTTCAAAGTGTGTTGTATACACGTGATTTACCAGACACCCTAGCTTAGCAGCACAGCACACTGTAGCATGTAGGTTGTTTCCCCTTGTGATCGAATGACTGGGAGCTGGACTTGTTGCTACTACCCAGCATCAAGAAAAATTATTGTATCACATGACAGTAGCCAGAGAAAAGATCAGAATTCAAAATGTGAAGTATGATTTTTGCTGAATGCATATCACATTCACATCATCCTGAAGTCAAAAATTGTAAGTTGAGCCCTCATCTATAACTTTTATATCTGAGAGGAAATACAAAGACATATGCTGTTGATAACATTTTGTTGGAAAAAACACTTGAGACTCATCAGCACATGTTACAGGTTTGTTGTACACATCAGTGCATATTTAAACCTGAACACTAATTGTAATAAATTTAATTATTTCTAGTTTTATCACAATAAAACTACAGTTGAACCTGTTTTTTCTTTTGGGTAATGAGGTTTTTCTTTATTCCTGTTATCTCTGTTACCCGTTCATGAAGTATATTCCTTAGCTCTCAGAGATCCTTTTTCACTATTTCAAAGCAGATTTTGACTTTTGAAAGTGCACTCAGGTACTGGAAAACTGCATTTATCCTCATAACTCAGAGTACTCTGCACCCAGAGTTGCGTTGGTGTAAGCTCTCTGTGCTGGTATTGAAGGAAAGGAGGTGTGTGATGCCAAGGGAGGAAATGGCCTAGGGCCCTGCTTTGTGCTGGTTGCTGTGGGGGACTCAGGAGTTAAGGGAGGACAAGTCATGAGCATGTTGCAGAAGGAAATGGGAAGCCGCCTGGCTCTCTTCACCTGACAATTTAAGCATCTGGATTTTCAATCCTTTCAGAATGAGTCTGAGCTCTTTGGAAGGACAATTCGGGTCAATTTGGCCAAACCAATGAGAATTAAGGAAGGCTCTTCCAGACCAGGTGAGTGGGAGCAACTCTCAGATTCCCTGTCATGTCCCCAAGTTCATTAGTTGCATTTTTTCCCTGTTTACTTGGAAGTAGGTCCTACAGGCTGCTTCCTGGTGGACAGGAATAGACGGTTCACACTGGTGAAAAGCATGCACTGCCTCTGTTGGGAAGTGAAAATGTGAGCTTGGCATAGCCAGACTATCGTTTCTCTAATGAGAGGCCATGCTTGGTCTTCTGCCTTTCCCGGCCTTCTTGACACTCCTTTCCTCGGGGGCTCCATCAAGGGCTGCGGCCGGCAGAGCCTGTGCCTTTGCCTTGGACATCGCTCCATCCTCTTGCTAACTGGCTTCCGGGCTGACCTTCCCTGCAGGAGTTATCCCAGGGGCCACCTCTGGCCAAGAGGGCCACATAGTGTCTTCAACTTCTCTGACCAGAGCCGCTTGTTAGCAGTTTGCTGAAAACTTGAAATTACTAGCGTTTAATTCTTTCCTTCCAGTTTGGTCAGATGACGACTGGTTGAAGAAGTTTTCGGGGAAGACTCTTGAAGAGAATAAAGAAGAAGAAGGGTCAGAGCCTCCCAAAGTAGAACCCCAGGAGGTGAGAATGCAGGTTCCTGCATCCGGAGCAGAGGCTGCCTTTTCACAGAGATTTTATTTTTTTCAAGTTTTTGTGGAAATTTGTGAATACAGGTACAAAATCAGAGAGTGAGTAATGTGCTCTCAGTACTCGGCAGGGGCAGCACTGAGTGAATTAAAGAGGCTCGGGTCCCTGGTCCTTGTTGTGTTCTGTGTGGTGCGCTGCTCAGCTCTGTGTGGTACAGATTTGTGATTACCAATGACAAGGAGGAAGATTGGGTGCTCGTTTCCACCATTCCTGACCCGCCTCCTCCTCCACTGAAGACTGGGCTCCTCCTCTGCGTCCACGTGGCCAGCCTGTGACTCTGCAGGGCTCACTGTAGAGGGCAGAGGGGCTGGTACATGAATGGGTCTGCTTAACTGGAGTACGGTGGCTGGGCTTGAACCAGTGTTGGAAGTTGGTGAGAGTTGTGCAGTGGGGACCAGAAGAGTGTGCTGTTCTGTGACTGCAGGGCAGGGGGACGCAGGATGATGAGACAGCGTGCCTGGAGCTGGGGTCGAGTGAGGTAGTGCTGAGGTCTCCTGTCACTGCATGTCCAGCTGGGTACTGTGGCCATGGCTCCTGCCTCCTGTAGCAGTGTCAGGTCCAAGACCTTTCCTGTCAGCACCTTGCTCCAGCCTGCTTGCTGGCGTTGTGTTCTGGGTGTTTGTGTGCAGGGCGTTGTCTGTGCTTGTGTTTGGGAAGTCAGGCATTCTCTCTAACCAGCACTTTTCTTCGGTACCCAGGGAGAGCCCACTGCGAAAAAGGCCCGGTCAAATCCTCAGGTGTACATGGACATCAAGATTGGGAATAAACCAGCTGGCCGCATCCAGATGCTCCTGCGTTCAGATGTTGTACCCATGACAGCAGGTGGGTAGGCCTCTGTCTAGGCCAGCAGGAAGCTGTAGGCGACCAGTGACAGACTTCTGCCTCACTTTTGGTACCCTTGACGATTTTGTTGTTGTTGTTGTTGTTTTTTAAACCTGAATCAGTTTGAGGTATCTCATTTCCTGGAATCTAGTAACAGAGTCAGAGCAGGTATTTTTGAGATTGTCTTAAGTGGTAGATTACCTTTTTTTTTCTCTTGCATTATTAGAGAGAGAGAGACAGACAATTTTTATCCACTGGCTCACCCCCCTCCCCCAAAAGCCCACAACACCCAGAGCTTCAGGCCAAGCCAAAGCCTGGAACCGGGAATCCCATCCTGGTCTCCCGTGTCGGTGGCAGGGTCCTAAGTACTTGTGCCATACTCTCAGGCACATTAGCAGGAAGGTGGCTTGGGAGCAGAATAACTAGGACTCAAACTGGCACTCCAGTATGGGATGCCAGCATCATAAGCAGCGGCTTAACCTGCTGTGCCACACTCCAGGCCTGCAGACAGTTTCTTGATTGTCTCTTCTAGTTTGTTAAATATTGACTTTTTATTATAAATTTTTATTATTTATTTTAAAGCCAGAGACAGATCTCTCATCCTCTGGTTTACTCCCCAAATGCCTGCTATAACTAAGGCTGGACCAGGCCAAAGCTAGGAGCCAGTAACTCACCATCACCTGCTACCCCCTCTGACGTGCATTAGCAGGAAGCTGGAATAGAGAGTGTAGTCAGTTCTCAAACCCAGGCACTACAATAAGGGATACAGTTGTCCCAAGCTGTATTAATGCTATGTCAAATGCCCGAGTCAATTTCACAAAGCCAATTTGTAAAACTGGTAGTCCCCTGGCGCTGTGCTGCACCTCACTCCACTGCCAGCACCATTTGCTGCTCCTTACAGGCAGTTCATTTCAACTCTTGGCCAGTTCCTTTGGTTTTTGCTTCCTGAAGTTGTAGGTTTCTACTTCCTGGTTTTTCCATTTTAGACATTATTTTTTTAAGATTTATTTATGTTACTGAAAGGAGGAGTTACAGAGAAGCAGAGGCAGAGAGAGAAAGGTCTTCCATCTGCTGGTTCACTCCCCAAGTGGCTGCAAGGGCTGGAATAGGGCTGATCTGAAGCCAGGAGTCAGGAGCTTCCTCCAGGTCTCCCACATGGGTGCAGGGGTTCAAGGACTTGGGCCATCTTCCACTGCCTTCCCAGGCCACAGCAGAGAGCTGGACTGGAAGTGAAGCAGCCGGGACTTGAACCAGTGCCCATATGGGATACCAGCACTGCACACAGTGGCCTTACCTGCTATACCACAATGCCAGCTCCTAGACATTATCTTTTGACTTCCTACTTGAATAGAAGGAATTATTAGCTTTTGAAAATCTAATGGGGCCGGCGTCATGGCGCAGTGGGTTAATCCTCTGTCTGCAGTGCCAGCGTACCATATGGGTACTGGTTCTAGTCCTGGCTGCTCCTCTTCCAATCCAGCTCTCTGCTATGGCCTGCGAAAGCAGTAGAAGATGACCCAAGTCCTTGGATCCCTGCACCCACATGGGAGACCAGGAAGAAGCACCTGGCTCCTGGCTTTGGATCAGCACAGCTCTGGCCATTGCAGTCATCTGGGGAGTGAACCAACAGAAGGAAGACATTTCTCTCGGTCTCTCCCTCTCACTGACTGTAACTCCACCACTCAAATAAATAAATAAATAGATCTTAGAGAAAAGAAAAGTCATTAAAAAAAGAAAAGAAAAGAAAATCTATTGCCTCGTATAGGTTCCATGACTGTGGTTAGGTCGTTGTTTATTTTACCTATGTAAGCATATGATAAACGTATTCCATGCACAGCATTCTGTTTTGCCTGGAATTATCACCTGTGTATTTACTCCTGATTCTCTCCCAAGTCCTCCTGCTGGGTTTTCTACATACAGCTGTCTGCCAGCTTGTGAGGGCAGGGCTGAATGCCTCCATGTTCAGTACCTAACCTTCTACCTTGTCTCCCTTTGTCATGATGGTGCCTCAGCCCTCAGCCATCTGCTTTTCCTCACCAGAGAGTAGATCCACCGGCAGAGGCAGCCCTCGCTGCAGGGTCAAGAAGAGGAAGATCTAGGGTTAGCCACTCCTTGAACAGGACTTCAGCCAGGCCTACTCTTCTTAGAATTACCTTCTCCCTTGTATTGAGCTTTTGGAATGTAAATTCAGTTGCTTCTTGGTTTTTGCAATCTTAAAATCAGCTTTTTTAGATCTGCTTTATCATTTATTTGTTTTCTAGCTTTCAAAAATGTTTTTGTTATGGTCTCACCACTACCCCCTTTTAAAAATTATTTTTGGATATTTTAATTATTTTAAGTATATGTTAATTACTATGTTGTACCATAATCACTGCTACCTATTTTCAGGATTTTTTTCATCACCCCAAGCAAAAACTCTGAGCCTACCAGGAAGGAACTCTGTACTTTCCTTCCTTTGGCTTCTGGAAACTGCTGATCTTTCTGTCTGTATGAATTAGCCTATTCTAGATAGTTCATATAAGTGGAATCATGCAATAGTTGTCTTTTATGCCTGACTTATTTCACTTAGCGTAATGTTTTCAGGGTTTATTCATGCTATGCCATGTTTCAGGATGTCATTCTTTTTATGGCTGAATAATATTCTATTGGATGTATACAAAGGGGCTTTAGAGAGTTTCTGGGACAATGAAATTAAAAGATAAGGTCTGGGGTGAGTGTCTGGTGCAGTAGTTAAGATGCTTCCTAGGATGGCCACATCCCCTATCAGGGTGCCTGGGTTGAAATCCCAGCTCCACTCTCCGTTGTGCCTTCCTGCCAATGCACAACCTGGGAAGCAGCAGGTGATGGGTCAGGTAGTTGAGTCCCTGCCACTCATATGGAGACCCATTTTGAGTTGTCAGCTCCTAGGCATTTGGGGATAGGAGGTCTGTCTCTCTGTCCTTTTCTCTTTCTTTCCTTGTCAATTAAAAAAGTTTTTAAAAATTTTGAAGTCTATGCATAATTTTCTATAATATACATTTTCCAGGTAATTTTTGAAGACCCTAATGTATTCTGTTTTGTTCATTCATTTATTGACGGACCCTTGAACACTGTTTCTCCCTGTTAGTTATTGTGAATAATGCTAACATGAACATTCATGTGTAAGTGTGTATTTTTTAGTTATAAGTTTATTCCTAGGAGTAGAAATGCTGAGTCATAACTCTGTATTTAACTTTTTAAGGAGTAAGCAAACTGTTTCCCACAGTGAGTATACTACTTTACCTTCCCATCAGCAATGTATGAGAGTTCTAGTTTCTCTACATCTTCTCCAATAGTTGTGATATTGGATATAGCATTGTGGTTTTGATTGGCATTTCCCTAATGGCTAATGATATCAAGCATTTTTTTAAAAGATTTATTTACTTACTTATTTTAAAGTCAGAATACAGAGGGAGAGACAGAGAGAGAGAGAGAGAGAGATCTTGCTTCCACTGGTTCACTTCCCAAGTGGCTGCAATAGCCGGGGCTGAGCCAAGCAGAGGCCAGGAACCAGGAGCTTCTTCCAGGTCTCCCATGCATGTGCAGAGGCCCAAGTATGTGGGCCATTTTCCACTGCTTTCCTAGTCCATAGCAGAGAGCTGGATCAGAAGTGGAGCAGCCAGGACTCGAACTGGCGCCCATATGGAATGCTGGCACTGCAGGCAGTGGCTTTACCCCCTACGCCACAGTGCCAGCCCCTGTTTTTGTTTTTTAAAGATTTATTTATTATGTATTTGAAAGGTAGAGTTACACAGAGGCAGAGAGAGAGGAGTCTTCCATCTGCTGTTTTACTCCCCGAATGGCTGCAATGGACAGAGCTGCTGCACCAATCTGAAGCTGGGAGCCAGGCACTTCTTCTGGGTCTCCTACACAGGTGCAGGGGCCCAAGGGCTTGGGCCATCTTCTGCTGCTTTCCCAAGCTGTAGCAGAGAACTGGATCAGAAGTGGAGCAGCTGGGTCTCGAACCGGCACCCATGTGGGATGCCAGCATTTCAGGAGGCAGCTTTACCCACTGTGCCACAGTGCCCGCCCCTAGATTATGTTTTTATTGAATTTTTGGTATTCATTATATATTCTGAACATTAAGCCCTTATGATATAATTTGCAAATATTTTTCCCCTATTCTGTGGGTTGCTTTTCACTCCATTGATGGTGTCCTTTGATATGTGTAAGTTTTTTTTTTTTTTAAGATTTTATTTATTTCTTTGAGAGGTAGAGTTACAGACAGGGAGAGACAAAGGTCTTCCATCCACTGGTTCTCTCCAGATGGCCACAACGGCTGGAGCTGGGCTGGTCTGAAGCCAGGAGCTTCTTCTGGGTCTCCCACATGGGTGCAGGCCATAGAAGAGAGCTCCACTGCCTTTCCAGGCCAAGGCAAAGGGCTGGATCAGAAGAGGAGCAGTTGGGACTAGCACTGGCGCCCATGTGGCATACTGCACCGCAGGCAGAGGCTTTACCCACTATACTGCAGCGCTGGTCCCATATATGTATAAGTTTTTCTTTTTTTTAAGATTTATTTTATTTATTTGAAAAAGTTACAGAGAGAGGTAGAGACAGAGAAAGAGGTCTTTCATCCACTGGTTCACTCCCCAGATGGCTGCAGCGGCTGGTGCTGCACCCATCAGGAGCCAGGAGCCTCCTCTGGGTCTCCCATGTGGACACAGGGGCCCAAGAACTTGGGCCTTCCTCCACTGCTTTCCCAGGCCACAACAAAGAGCTGGATCGGAAGAGGAGCATCCGGGACTAGAACCAGCTCCCATATGGGATGCTGGCACTTCAGGCCAGGGCTTTAACCCACTGCACCACAGCGCCGGCCCCCATATAAGTTTTAAACTTAATGAAATCTTGGCCAGCGCTGCGGCTCAATAGGCTAATCTTCCACCTAGCGGCGCCGGCACACCGGGTTCTAGTCCCGGTCGGGGCACCGGATTCTGTCCTGTGTCCTGGTTGCCCCTCTTCTAGGCCAGCTCTCTGCTGTGGCCCAGGAAGGCAGTGGAGGATGGCCCAAGTGCTTGGGCCCTGCACCCGCATGGGAGACCAGGAGAAGCACCTGGCTCCCGCGGCGGCCATTGGAGGGTGAACCAACAGCAAAAAGGAAGACCTTTCTCTCTGTCTCTCTCTCTCATTGTCTACTCTGCCTGTTAAAAAAAAAAAAAAAAAAGACCTTAATGAAATCTGGGGCCAGCTCTGTGGTGTGTTGGGGGTAGAGCTGCCGCCTGTGGTACCTGCATCCTCTGTGGCACCAGTTCAAATCCTGGATGCTCTGCTTCTGATCCGAATCCCTGCAAATGTGCCTAGGAAAGCAGTGGGAGGTGGTCCAAATGCTTGGGCCCCTGCGCTCACGTGGGAGACCTGGAAGAAGCTCCTGGCTGCTGGCTTCAGAGTGGCTGAGCTCCTGCCATTGCAATCATCTGGGGAGTGAACCAGCAGATAGATGATCTCTCTCTCTCTGCCTCTGCCTCTCTGTAACTCTGCCTTTCAAATAAATAAATAAATCTTATAAAAAAAAAAACTTGATAAAACCTAACATCTATTTTTCGTGTTATTTGTGCTTTTAGTATTATATTTAATAAACCACTGCCAAATCCAAAATCATAAAAATTTGCCCCTGTGTTTTCTTCTAACATCCTTTGGTTTTTCTTTTTAAAAATCACCTTAGCTCCAACTTAGCATGCTTTTAGGAGAGGGCAGTGCTAGGATCTATGTGTTCCATCCTCCTCTAATCTGAATCCTTTGAAGTCCTTTATGGTCAGTATCACAAAGGTTTTTGATGAGCAGTTCTTATTTTAAAATGAAAATAGAGTTGGTCACTTTATGGATTTAACCAACTGTGCATCAAAAATATATAGAGGAAAAGTTAGATCTGTACTGAACATGTAAGTGCTTTTTTCCTTGTCATTATTCCTTAAGCAGTAAAGCACAACAACCACTTAGTAATTTGCATCCTATTGGGGATTATTAGTAACATAGAGATGATTTCAGATATAAAGGAGGATGTGCATAGTTCTGTGCAAATACTATGCCATTTTATATACGGGATTTGATTATCTGTAGACCCTCAGAGGAGGGTCCTGGAACCAATCCCCAACAAATACCAAGAGGTGACTGTACAAGCATTAAACAGATCTGTAGTTTATTTTGTTTTTCAACTCAGCACTTCTTACTTTCTCAACCCCAGAGAATTTCCGTTGCCTGTGCACCCATGAGAAAGGCTTTGGCTTCAAGGGAAGCAGCTTCCACCGCATCATTCCCCAGTTCATGTGCCAAGGCGGCGATTTCACAAACCACAATGGCACCGGGGGCAAGTCCATCTATGGGAAGAAGTTTGATGATGAAAACTTCATCCTCAAACATACAGGACCAGGTAAGTCTCAGTGTGGTGACGTGTGAGATTGGGCCAGGGCGGAATGACCATGCAGGCCAGAAACATGGACGTGGTTGTGGCCGAGGGACAGGGTGCCTAGGGGAGAGCTAGCTGCCGGACAGAGGAGACACACCCAGCCCCGCTGCCGTGGGCCAGCTTGCTCACACTGTGTCATCCCCCTGCTGTGTCCGCATTCCCTGTTAGCCTAGCTTGATTCTGTGGTCTGCCATTGTAAGCTCTCCCTATGCCCTCAACCCCACTCCCATCAGACTTAATCTAGGAAACTCTCAGTGGATGGTCCCCTAGCAGCCAGAGGAAAATAAAAAATGCAGCAACAACACAGAGTTGTACTGAATGGTCTGTCTTGACATTTATGTCTGCAGTTTTGAAGGAAGCTCTTGGCAGCCCCAGGTTGATGCTGTGTCCCAGTCAGAGGTGATGATCTCAAGCCTGTCTTCTCTCCCGTCTCTGTCTGCATGGACATGCTCTGACTTCCCTCTGACGTTTCAGAGGAAAAACTTTCCGCTCATGGACTGGTCACCCCTCCACCCCCCATTTAAGAACCTGCCTTCTGCAGGAGTCCGTCTCAGCCTGGTGTAATTCTCTTCCCCTGCTCTGCCCAGTGCGGCTGTCAGCACACAGCATGTGGGATTTCTGCAGTCATCCTCAGACCATTTCCCCTCCAGCTGCCGCTTGTGTCTCTGGTCTACTTTTTAGCAAAACATCTTGAAAAAGTGGCTTATACTTACTGCCTTTCTTCTGTAAGTCCTTTTAGCCAGACTTCCAGCCCCATGTCACGTTGAAACCCCTGTTAGCAAAGATGCCATCAGGGACCAATGTTGTGGGTTAAGCTACCACTTGGTACACTCTGGAATCCCCTATCTGAGTGCAGGTTCAAGTCCTGGCCACTCTGCTTCTGATCCAGCTTCCTGTTAATATACCTGGAAAGGCAGCAGAAGGTGAACTGAGCACTTGGGCCCTTGCTACCATGTGGGAGACCCGAGTTCCTGGCTCCCAAATTCAGCCTGGCTCAGATCTGGCTGTTGCAGCAGCCATCTGGGGAGGGAACCAGTAAATGGAAAATCAGTATCTCTCTCCTTCTCTCCCCTTCTCTCCCTCCCCCTCCCCCTCTTCATTGCTCTGCCTTTCAGACTAGTTAATTAATTAATTATTTTAAAAAATGATGCCAGTAGACTCCATCTTGCCAATTAAAAAGAAATTTTTTTTTAAGATTTATTTATTTATTTGAAAGACTTACAGAGAGAGAGAAGAGGAGGAGAGGCAGAGAGAGAGGTCTTGCATCCACTGGTTCATTCCCCAATTGGCTGCAAGGGCTGGAGCTGCGCCGATTAGGAGCCAGGAGCTTCTTCCAGGTTTCTCACATGGGTGCAAGGGCCCAAGGACTTGGGCCATCTTCTACTGCTTTCCCAGGCCACAACAGAGAGCTAGATCAGAAGTGGAGCAGCTGGGACTCGAACCGGTGCCCAAATGGGATGCCGATACTGCTGGCAGTGGCTTTACCCACTACGCCACAGCACTGGCTCCTAAACCATTTTTTATACCATTTTGTTTTAATGTAATACTTAACGTCACATAGCATCCTTAATTTTTAAAAAATATTTACTTATTTGAAAGGATTACAAGGAGAGAGAGAGAGAGAGAGATCTCCCATCCACTGATTCATTCCCAGATGGCCACAGCAAGAGCTGGGCCAGACCAAAGCCAGGAGCCATCTTGAGTCATTTACCACTGCTTTTCCAGCCTATTAGCAGAAAGCTGGATTGGAACTGGAGCAGCTAGAACTTGAACCACTACCCATATGGAATGCTAGTGTTGCAGGCAGTGGTTTTACCCACTACAGTACAATGTCAGCCCCATTAAATGCATTTTTTACCTATACCAAAACCTGGCAAGACACTCGAAAGACCATGTGTATGTGGGACAAGTTTTTTTTGTATGGAACATTGCAGAACATCCAGCACTCCAGGCCCCCTCCTACTTGATGCCAGTAGCACCTCACAGTATTATTATTATTTTTTAATTTATTTGAAGAGAGAGATTTTCATCTGCTGGTTCATTCCCCAAATTCCCACAACAGCTGATGCTGGGCCAGGCCCAAGCCGCGAGCCCAGAGTCAATACGTCTGTCATATGAGTGGTAGGGACCCAACTGCTTGAGCCATCACTGATGCTTCACAGGGTGTGCATGAGCAGGAAGCTGGAATTAGAAGCAGACGCAGGATATGAACCCGGCCACTCTGAAGCAATGCAGGCATCCCAAGCACCGACTTAACCACTTCGTCAAACTCCCACCCCCCCGACAGTATTTCTGAAATCAGAGATGCATTTAAAGTTCCAAAGGCCCTAGGGGCAGGACCAGCCCCATTGAGAGCCACTGCCCTATACCTCACCTCCGTTCCCGTGGCTTTCAGTGGGATGTCTGAGTCAAGTTTGTCTCCGTGCTGATTGCTCCCTGACTTCAGACCTCTCCCAGCTCCCTAATTGCTGTCTTCCCCAGCTGCTCCATGGGCACCTCAGTCCTCACGTGTCTAAACCAGCTCCGGGCCTTCTCCCCGAAACTCATCCCTGTTTGAGTAAATGACACCACCACCCTCTGAGCTGCTTGGGCAGAACTTTGGCATGGCCTTACTCAGTCCTGTGTCCCCGCCACCCATGTGTCACATCCATCCTCCAGTCCTCGCCTGGCCCAGCTGCATGAGATGCACACGCATGTTCTCCTGCCTGATGGCCTCCTGCTTCCTCCCTGTGTCATAGCTGGCAGAGCACAGTCAGCTTTTGAGTAACTTTTCTGCTGACTGAGCTCCTCCAGGGCCAGGGCTATGTTTTGTTCATCAGTGTTCCCAGAACTCAACAGGCCCTGGTTTGAGAGGAGACACTTAATAAGTAACTGTTGAGTAAATGAATGAATGAAACAACAAACCAGTGTGAAATGATTGAAACAACCCTGCCCGTCCTGTGTCACAGTCAGCTCAGTGAAGGACAAGGTGGCTGCGTCCACGTGGTCTGTGCATCCCGCAGTCCCATTCTGCCTGGTGGGGGGCTGCCGACGGGCTGCACCCATGTGCGCTGGGGTGGAGGGAGCTGACGAGCTCCTTCCCTCCCCCAGGCCTGCTCTCCATGGCCAACTCTGGCCCAAACACCAATGGCTCCCAGTTCTTCCTGACGTGTGACAAGACAGACTGGCTGGATGGCAAGCATGTGGTGTTTGGGGAGGTGACCGACGGTCTGGATGTCTTGCGACAGATTGAGGTGGGTGGCAGGGAACAGGCCCGAGCCGGCAGGGGTGGGCCGGGGGTGCTTCCTGCAGCAGTCCTGTCCCCGGGCGGAAGGTTCCAGGTTGGGAGTGGGCAGCAGGGCGGGAGTGCCCGAGCCAGACTTCATTCTCCACCCGCACGCCCCTGACTTCTGGTCTCTGTTCTGCCCCCCAAGGCCCAGGGCAGCAAGGACGGGAAGCCCAAGCAGAAGGTGATCATCGCGGATTGTGGCGAGTTCGCGTGAGCTGAGCTGGCGCCCTCTCTGCCCTTGCTCTGCACACCCAGGAAGGAGTTGCTGCCTCCGGGACCAGCACGGAAGCAGCGTTCGTAGCCAGAGCCCTTCCTCGGCGTCAGCTCCTACAGGCACAGCATGGACTTCTCTGGGCTCTTTCCCATCGTGCCTGGGCCAGGAGCAGCCAGGCAGGCACCGCCCTCCCCATCACGGACAGGCCTGGCGTTTGCTGCCAGGGCCCGATCCCCACCTGCCCGCGGGGACCCTGGAGATTTTCTCCACCAAAATAAATCCTCGTCCTCAGACTGCTGCCTCCAGCCAGCTCCTAGGGGTTGTCAGAGTTTGTGTCTGTGGCTAAGCTTTCTTCTGAGATGGGCTGGCAAGTGGCCAGGGCAGTGTCCTCCCTGTAGATTGTTTTTCCCCTCATGGACCTGTCCCTGTTGATACCAGGTAATCCACCTGCACACCCAGTAGCCCTGTCAGACTGTGTCAAGACAGCAGAGTTCAAAGACCGTGGGAACGCTCCTGTCTTCTGCAGCCTCTGCTCCTGAACTGCTGCTGGCCTCGGAGCCGCAAGGGTACCTGCCAGTCACGCTCCATGATGCGTTTATATTGCGTACTTTCATTTCACAAATTTTTCTAATAATGTTTTACAGTTCAAAGTGCTTTTCCTCTGCTACATACTGCACTTGTCAGGGATAGGAAGTCAGCAAATCACATGGGCCTGTTTTTGTGAATAAATTTTATTGGAACACAGCCACATCTATTTGTTTACATATGGTTTATGGCTGCTTCCTCACTACAGTGGCAGAGTTGAACAGTTGGCAACAGACACTCTGGCCCATGGGGCTCTCCAGAGAACCAGTAAGTTGTGTATATATTCATAGAAGGAAAAAGATTTCTCTTAAGGAATTGGCTCATGCAGTTTTAGAGGCTGGCAGGTCTGAAGTCCACAGGGCAGGCCTCCGGCTGGAGACCTGGAGAGAAGCTGTTCATGTCTGGCCATGGAATGTCCTTCTCCAGTGACCTTGCTGCTGTTGAGGCTTTCCACTCATTGAGTATTTACTCTCAGCCCTCACAGAAGCTCACCGACTTCTGGCCAGAACAAACGGGCCCGGGCCTGCTGAGCTCCCGTTTCCTCTCCCATGTGCAGCCGCTGCTGAGAGCCTGCATTGGGCTGTCTTCCGACCTCTCCAGAGGCTGGCCAGGAGGGCAGCTTTAAAGATACCCCCGTGTGCTGAAGGCTGCAAGCAGGGGCTGAGCCTTTTAGCTGTTGGACACCTCCCTGCGGGTCTGCCAACACAGACCATCCAGAATCTGCTGGGCTGAGGCAGGAGCGGCCCAATGCCTCCTGGCCCTGGTGATCCCAGGAAGTTCTTTGACCTGCTGGCCCTACTCGGGCCCCATGTGCCAGTTGGACTCCCCAGGAGTGCCTTCTGTGGTCAGCCACACTCCTGCTATGTGCTTGAGATGCCGCAGGCAGTGGTCACAGCACTGGGCACCCTGTCGGCCGGCGCCTCCTGTCTGCCGGCCTCACACCTGCCTCCAAAGCGTAGGCATCTGTCCAAGCAGCCCCAAGGAAGGAGTCCTGGGACGACTGGTGGTAAAAATGGAGTCTGGTGACAGAAAACTTAGACAGCCATGTTTTCAAACAGTATTTATTAACAGATTTTCATTATAAAGGAGGGAAAGCACATCACAAAGGAATTTACAGTGTGATCCCAATTTTGCAAAAATTTCTATAGTATCTAAACATTTATTTTAAGAACAAAGCCTAGAAATGAAGCCACCAAGGTACTTACGTGCTTATCTGAGTCAAAGCTGTGGTGATTTGAATTATGTTTTATTTTTTTAATTAATGCAGCTTGGAGGAAAAAATGGAAAACGTTTTAGAAAGTGGATCAAGTGCTAGTGTAAGGCTTTCTCCTAAGTAGTAGAATGCCCCGTAAGTAGTAGATGCCCCCATTCAGACTGCCGGGGAGGCCCCCAGTGGAGTGGGATGTGGGATGTGGGGTCCTGGTGTCTCAGACACAGGAGGGGTTTCATCTGGGCCACTGCCGGCCTCACCAGACGCTGACCAGGCCTCTAAAGGTGTTGAGAATCTGAGTCCTGCTCTCCCAGGAATACCACCAGGTATTGAGTCTTTTTTTTTCCTTACCACAACTCTGAAATACAGCACCATTTGCAGAACACTTGTTTCAATGGACGCTCCAAGGGAGCGAATTCATTTGTGAGATCACTAACAGATACCACTTGTTAAGCCTTTGTACATCCCACATCCCAAATGTTTGTGTGCAACCAATCTTTAACATAGCGCAGAGAGGAGAGAACAAGTACCCTGCTCTACAGAGAAAAAGGCAAAACCATTCTTGGAGTTAAATCTTTTTAAAATCTGGACTCTGGCTATGCCGCCTCTTTTCTTGTTTCTTAGGAATTTTTCTAGAACGTCTTACTTCCCTGTCTTAGAAGACAGATAACCTGGCTGGCGCCGCAGCTCACTAGGCTAATCCTCTGCCTGTGGCACTGGCACCCCAGGTTCTAGTCCCGGTTGGGGCGCCGGATTCTGTCCCGGTTGCCCCTCTTCCAGGCCAGCTCTCTGCTATGGCCCGGAAGTGCAGTGGAGGATGGCCCAAGTGCTTGGGCCCTGCACCCGCATGGGAGACCAGGAGAGGCACCTGGCTCCTGGCTTCGGATCAGCACGGTGCACCGGCCACAGCGGCCATTGGGGGGTGAACCAATGGAAAAAGGAAGACCTTTCTCTCTCTCACTGTCCACTCTGCCTGTCAAAGAGAAAACAGAATAAAAAAACCTGATGACATGGCTTCCAGGCCAGTATGGCAGTGCAAGGCCTCCCACTGTGGGCACTTCTGAGCCTGTTTCTGTCAGTGTCCTCACCGATTTCTCATCAGTGTCAGTGGATCAGATCTGACCGCTCTGACTGAACCTTCTTTCTAGTCTGGCACAGCCCTGAGCAAGCAAAAGGGAAACACCGGTGTCCATGCTGCCAGCCTGGCCGCCCGCTGCACCTGCCATGCTGCATAATAGGTAACTCATGGGAGGAAATCATGGCTTTTGTATCCAGGCATGGCTCTAGGGCTTTTTCTGTTTGATTTCATTTGGTGACCATCTGGATGGCAGAAATTGCTTGAAGTCTGACAGCCTAGCAGGCAGGTGAGGCCTTACTGCTTTTCAGTAGTTCTACATGAAAAAGGAAGCCTGTAACTGATTGGTTCCTGTTAGGCACAGCTTGATGGATGGGTAAGTGGACTCCAGGCCTACAAACCTTTGGGTAATCTGACAGATGTTCCTGGTGCACCCCGTAACCATGGCTGGGCACTGAAGATAACCAGGAGAAGTGAAAATGTCATTGTCAAAATAATTGGTTCTTTTAAAACTTGCAGCTGTCTAAAAGGCAGTGCTGTATCTGTTGAGAAGAGAGGTTTGTCAGATGAACTCTGACTGCAAACAGCTCCTGTGTTCTGTGATGGCTTCCATTCATCACAGCCACCTGGGCTCCATACTCAGGGCCGTGAGGCTGCATCAAACTGTGATTCCCTTGGATTACAGATGGAAAACAGAGGCCCAGGTAAGGATGTTCCCTACGAGTCACATCTTCCCTCCATGCCAGAATTGGTGCCCTACTTTGTTAGGGAACTGACCAGCTCCAGGCATGGGCATGCACACAGAGGCCCTCCCAGGGGCAGGTGCAGGGCAGCTGTCTCACAGCACAGCCCCAGCCCCCACCCCTGCTCAGCCCATCCTCAGGGGTGTGGAGGGTGAGCCCGAGATGCATCCTTGGGAGCACGGCGGTGCCACCTCTGCTGGGCGTGCCTGTGGTCGGGGTGGACCCAGGATCCGCTTTTAATGACAGGGTTCAGACAGCTGGACTCTGTCTGTCCCAGCAGGTAAATTACAGGCTTAGCAAGTAGAAATCAAATAAACACTGGGACTCCCAGCGCTGCTCCGGGGAGAACAGCGGTTTCCGGAACGGTGCAGGCTGAGACGAGGGTCCCCACCCAACTCAGCCTAATTGCCGCCTGTCACTCCCGGGGACAGGGGCCTTCTCTTTGACTCAGGTCTGAGAAACCAGACAGGGCTCTTCTGCACCCAGAGTGACACAACCTTGGGTGACCAGCCTGTTTTTGGCAACTTGTGGGCACATACAGGTGCTAACAAGCCCCGAGGCCTGCCCACAGCCTGCCAGAGTTGCAGACGCTTCACAAAGTGGCAGAGGATGGCGCAGTTTTCACTTCCCATGCTGATAGGTTGACAGCGGCTGCCTGAAGTCCTCTGCTGACCATTCACAAATGCAGCCCAGATTTGGAAGAAAAAAATACCAGGACCAATGATTGCTATCTGCCTGCAGGAGGGAAACGAGATGCAGGCACCGTGCAGTGCAATGTCATCGCAGGCCACCCGATGCCACCGCGTTTGCTCAGCAGAAAGAATGGAGCTGAGCTCCCACGGACCTGTGTGTTGGCAGAGACACGGATCAGTTGGAAACCTCCAAGATGCTTCTGTTTCTCCAAAGCAAAGTAGCAACGTCGTCCCCAGGTGGCAGCAGCGGCACAGGCAGGAAGCCCGGGGAGACAGGACTCTCGGCTCTCGGGCTAACCCATGTTCGTTCAGTTTTTCCTGAGTTGGCCCCACCTGTTCATCTGTGGTCAGTGCTTTGGATTCAGATCCATGAAGATACCACACTGTGGCCAGGTTTCTGCTGCTTCACTCTTCTCAGCTGGGGGGGAGAGCAACCCTGGGACGACCCAGACCTTGTCTATGAGTACCCAAGCCCCACGTGGCTAATGAAGGGCCGAGGGGGCCAGTCCTGTGCTCCAGGTGCTTCTCAAGTCATCTGTGTCTGCCCACAGTCTGGGCAACTGCTGCCCGTGGCCAGGTCCCCAGGCAGGGTTCCTGTGCCAGCCCCAAAGAATGAACCAACTCCTGTCTCTGGGGGGCAGGGGCCTGGTGTAGGACGCTGCTGGATGACCCAGACCACCGGGGCTGGAGGCAGCACAGTCTTACCAACCTCGGGCAGGAGAAGGGGCGCAGGGGGGCTGAGTGGACCAAGGCTTGGCAGGAAGGAGGGAGGGGCATCAGCAGGAGGCTTGAGGACCCTCCCTGCCAACCCTGCCTGAGGTCTGGCTGGGCTTGAAGGCATATTCTGGAGAGAGGCCAGAAGTCTCCCAGGGGGCCTGACCCAGATGGGGAGGGCTGGCCGCAGCCGGTGGCGGCCGGGCTCAGTGGCAGCCGCAGGCCTTGACCACCATGTTGCGGTGCTTGCGCAGGATCACGTTGTTGCTGCTGTCGTAGTAGAGCACGGAGGTGGCGCTCAGCTTGGTGGGCGCGCAGCACGCCTTGGGGACCGCGTCTGGCTTCATCAGGTGCACCTGACCAGAGGAGGTGCAGGCAGGGACATGAGCCCAGCGGTCTCCTCCAAGGACCTGCCCAGTCCGGCCCCCAGCTCCCACCTGCTCCCCACCCTGGCCCGTCTTGGGGGCGCTCATCTGCTCGGGCTCTCTCTCCTCCTGCACCCAAGGCAGGTACCACCATGCAGAGCTGCCCCTGCCCACTCAGGGCACTGCCCAAGCACTCAGCACAGCTGTCCAGAACCCACAGGCCCAGCCCTTGGCTCGTGCATTCTCTTACCTCCAGCCCCATGGGGACAGCCCTGCTGTGCCGGTCACCAGCACACTGTGCACCTAGGGCCCTAGAGGGCAGTGACCATCTGGTTTGCTATCTGGCAGGTTGTGAGCATTCCTTTGTGGAGCCACAGCAGGCCTGGGTTGAGGCTTGTGGTGGGGACAGAGGCCTGGGAGATCAGGTGGGCTCACCCCATGAGCCTCCCTCACCCGGGACCATGAGAGCCACAGCATAAAGGGTGGGCTGGGCTGGGCTGGGCCGGGCCACCCCACATGTCCCATTATCAACTCTTGGTTTTTCTCCAAGGAAGGTGACTCCTGGGCATCCAGCAAGCACCCTTTGACCCTTGAGAAAGGAGCGTCCCCATGGGCTCCCAAGCACTTTCGTTATTCAGGCCTCTCACTCAGCCGCATCCCTCTGAGTACTTCTGCTAGAGACTCGTGGGCCTGGGGACCGCCGCAGCTGGGTTCCGTGAGATCCCCCCACCACTGGCAAGCACGCAGAACACTTAGCAAGCAGTAGCAGCGGGCAGCAGTGCTCCTGCCAGAACCCCCACCACTCGAAGCTGCCCAGACACTGGGGACAGGCATTTGGCCCAGCAGCTGAGATGCCACATGCCACATCTGAGTACCTGCATTCCCTTCCCCGCTCTACCTCCTGACCCCACCTCTCTGCTAACAGCAGTGATGGCTCAAGTGATGGGGTTCCTGCCACCCAGGCGGGAGACCCACCTCCTGGCTTCAGCCTGGCCCAGCCCTGGATCCTGCAGGTGCTTGGGGGAATGAAACAGTAAGTGGGGAATCTCTCTCTCTCTCTCTCTCTCCAAATACTTAAATTTGTTTTTTCAGGAGTGCTTGTGGCACAGTGGGTTATGACCACTGGTTTCAGTTCCAGTCATTCTTCCAATCCAGTTCCCTGCTAATGCACCTGGGAAAGCAGCAGAAGATGGCCCAAGTGCTGGGGCCCCTGCACCCACATGGGAGACCTGGATGGAGTTCCTGGCTCCTGGCTTTGGCCTGGCCCAGCCCTGGCCATTGAGGCCATTTGGGGAGTGAACCAGCAGATGGAAGACCTCTCTATCTCCCTCTCTCTGTAACTCTGTCTTGAATAAATTAAAAAAAAATTATTTTTTCAGTTGCACAGACACCAAGGCCTTATGAGGTATGACCTGGGGAAAACAGCAGCTGGGAAAGCGCCAGGGAAAAGCCCCAGGGTTGGGAGCCAAATCCCAGACGCGCAGCAGGAAGAGAGTAGGGGTGCACATGCACATCGCATACCCCACGTGCATGTCAGGGGAGGTCAGACGCCAGAGTGCACAGCGCATGTGTACACAGACGTCACGCAGGGGCCAGCCTACACGGGCACACAGTCTGTGGTGTGTGTAGTCTGCCTCTGCCCTCAGGAGCTGCGCCCTGTCAGCCTGGTGGCCATACACAGGCACATGGATGTGCCACATGTGTGCACACGCCTGGCTGTTTGATGGGGGGCCGTGGTGTGCACATGCTCAGTGCATGCGAGTCGCCATGTGTAAGAGCAGCCGTGTGAGGAGCAGTTTCCCCAGAGGTGCGGGGCTGAACCACCCTGCTAACTCCGCACAGAGAAGCTGCTGAGCCCGGAGCAGCACTCATGGCCCTCCCAGCCGGACGGGGCCCCCTCTGCCCTCCCAGCGGGACGCCGCGGTACTGACCAGGGACTGCAGGATGGCGTGGTTGGTGGCGTTCATGCAGGAGTCCAGGGGGAAGGAGCACTCGCCCTCACAGTAATAGGCCGAGTAGCCTTGGGGGGCGATGACCCAGTCCTGGGGGGAAGGAGGAGGTGAGCCCAGCCCGGCCCCGGCACAGACAGGGCTGCCCTCTCCCTCCCTGAGCCTCAGGGCCCCGCCACCCCGTTCGCCCTCCCAGAGACCCAGGGCAGGCAGGGCTGGGCGCCAGCTCTGTCCCCGTCACTCTGCACCCTCGCTCTGCCTCCACCTCCCCGGCCTGCCCCCGCCAGGCCTGCTGGAGCTGCAGTCCGGGGGGTACGCAAGGTGCTGCTGCCCGGCCTCGGCCCCTGACAGCTTGGCTGGCTGAGGCTCAGATCATCTTCACTGCTGCAGTTTTAAAAAGTCCACCATAAAGTACCACAATGTCACTTTGGAAAACTTATAAACCCAGAAAAAAAAAAACCACAAGGATATCCAAGTCCCCCAGTTTTACTCCCTCCCTGGAGAGCCACGACCCGCAGGTGGGGACGTCACTGACAGAGTCGCAGATTACCAGCCAGCCGAGGTCCCGGAAGCTGACGTAGAGCTCGTGCCGACGGCACACCTGCCGGCCGTTGGAGCCGTGGACAGCATCTGCGGGGACAGACGGTCAAGGTCATTTCAGGGGTTCTGGGGGTGCCGTGGGCACAGCTGACCCATAAACAAATGACAAGGCACTAAACCGTCGGCTCTCGTAAAGCCACGCCTGGAACTCCGGTCCTGCTCTGGCCCAGCTCAAGAGCCTTCAGTGGCTCCGGACTGTTACAGAGTGAGCCCACCTCAGCCCCGCCTCCCTGCCTGGCCACCTGGGGGCCTCTGATGCTCCACGACAGCCCAGCAAGACCCCGGGCCACCCCAGGCTCCTCTTCCCCGCCCACTGCACAGGTGCAAGGGGCCCAAGTCAAGGGCAGGCATGGGGCTGACTCCCGGTGGCGGCCGAGGGGTGCGCTCAGGTCTGACCCTGACCCCTAGGGCCTCCGCTGCCAGGAACAACTGTGGGTCCCACAGGGCCCTGGGATAGAACCGAGGGTCCTCAAGGGGGTGTGGCTGCCCAGGGAAGGGGCAGTTGACTCTGACAGAGGCTCCTGGGAAAGGCCTGTGGGGCCAGGGGTGGCAGGGAGGGGACATCGGGAGGCAGGGACAGCCGAGACAGAGCTCAGACCCTGCATCAGCGGGCATCTGGCACGGGACAGTCAGGAAAGGAGACGGGAGAGGGACTGAGGCTTGAACCACAGAGAGGGCGCAGGAGTCTGCAGCCACCCGGCCTCCCGCCCCAGGCCCAGGCCTCGCCCCTCACCGAAGATCCCCGGCAGCTTGTTGGGCTGCGGCAGCTCGTTGGTTCTCTTCGGCTGCCTCCTCTTCAGCGGCCTCAGGGCCCGAGGGGCGCGTCCAGGGCTCGGGCTGGCCCTGAAGAAAGTGACCATGAATGGCCGGCGGGAGCGCGGTGCCCGCTGCCCCAGCAGCCCGGCCCGGCCGGGATCCACGCTGAGCCCTGAGACGGAGAGAGGAAGAGGGTCACTCGCAAGCGCTGGCCCCGCGTGGACGCAGCTGGAGGCCGAGGCCCGGAGGGCACCCCCTGGGCCTCAGTGTCCTCATCTGCAGCTCGGAGTCCCGAGCTAGCACAGCTCCCAGCAGGCGGCGCCTGAGGCAGCGCGGGGGAGGGGCCCCGTGAGCCCCCAGGGACCTGGCTCGGTGGTCGAGCCCCTGACGTCGGCGACGGGTCCTCAGGCTCACCGTGCTCCCCTCTGCTGCCCTCACTCCGTCTTTGCACAGCCCTTGGCTTCAGCTCCACAGGGGGTCACTCGGCCAGGACAGAGGCCAGGGCGGCGGCCCTCAGAACCAGGCTCCGCCGACATCGCGGGGCGCCAGGGCGGGGTCCGCCTTCCGCCCACACCAGCTCCTCTGCAGTGCCCCGCCCGGCGCAGCTCAGGCTCACAGCAGCATCTACCAGGGCTCGGCGAGGCCTGCTCTGCCCAGCCGGCCCTGAGCCGGGCAGTGACCTCTCCCGGGCCCACCGATGAGACGTGGGCCCCGGAGGTGGGGCCGCGGGAACACAGCCCCAGAGCAGGCTCCAGCGCGGAGGTCTCACCCCACGGCCCGAGCTCACGGTCAGTGGGCCCAGCTGACAGTCAGAAAGAGAATGAAGGAGCCAGTGCTGTGGCCTAGTGCGTAAAACGCAGCCTGCAGTGCCAGCATCCATGTGGGTGCCAGTTTGAGTCCTGACTGCTCCACTTCCTGTCCAGCTCTCTGCTATGGCCTGGGAAAGCAGTGGAAGATGGCCCAAGTCCTTGGGCCACTGCACCCATGTGGGAGACCTGGAAGAAGCTCCTGGGTCCTGGCTTCGGATCGGCACAGTTCTAGCCATTAGTGAACCCCCAGATGGAAGATTCTCGCTCTCTGCCTCTAACTCTGCCTTTCAAATAAATAAATCTTAAAAAAAAAAAAAAAAAAAAAAGGCTGCAAGAGGGGCCGATTCTCAGACCTCAGCCCTAGGAAGAGGGACGCCCATAAAAGCGCGGTTTCCCCCACAGCCAGTCAGAGCCCAGGAGGCGACTCACAAACCCTGCAATTAAGTCAGGGATGCCAGGAGGCCACCGACAGAGCCATGCTCAGCACCTGCTGGTGGTAACAGCCCCTTGGCGTCTTTACTGAACCAACAGCATTGTCAGCACAGGAAAGACAACACGCGCTGGCGGACCCCCCCCCCCCCCGGCCAGGCTCAGTCTTCGCCATATTTCTGGGCTATTCTCACTGTGTCCATCTAAACTCTGGGCAGAGTTCAGCGCTCAAAAAAGCTGGGTCTTTTATTTTTTTCCCAGCTCTTTTTTTTTTAAAGAAAACAGAAGATATTATCTATATATGATTTATTTATTCTAAAGTTAGAATTATAGAGAGGGGTGAGAGAGAGAGAGGGAGAGAGGGAGGGAGAGAGAGAGAGAATCTTCCATCTTTTGGTTTACTCCCCAGATGGCCGCAATGGCGGCCAGGCCAAAGCCAGGAGCCAGAAGTAGCTTCTGGATGTCCCATGTGGGTACAGGGTCCCAAGCACTCGGGCCATCCTCTGCTGCTTTCCCAGGTGCATTAGCAGGGAGCTGGAAAGGAAGTGGAGCAGCTGAGACTCGAACCGGTGCCCATATGGGAAGCTGGCACTGTGGATGGCGGCTTAACACGCTGTGCCACAGCACTGCCCCCTTTTTCAGCTTTTTCCCAGTAGCATTGTCCTGGCCGTTGAGTCTCCAAAACAGCATCCCTGGTGTCCGAGTCCCTGCGAGCAGGCACAGCCTCACGTGCTGCGCATGCTCAGACACTCAGCACGACAGACCTCCTGCACTGTGCCTCTGCCAAAACCTTCCTCTGCCACCCGAAGGGAAGACGTAACCACGGGGTTCATTTCTTTAAGCTCTTGAAAGAGAGCGGCCAGCTAGCTGGCGCCGCGGCTCACTAGGCTAATTCTCCGCCTTGCGGCGCCGGCACACCGGGTTCTAGTCCCGGTCGGGGCGCCGGATTCTGTCCCAGTTGTCTCTCTTCCAGGCCAGCTCTCTGCTGTGGCCAGGGAGTGCAGTGGAGGATGGCCCAAGTGCTTGGGCCCTGCACCCGCATGGGAGGCCAGGAAAAGCACCTGGCTCCTGCCTTCGGATCAGCGCAATGCGCCAGCTGTGGCGGCCATTGAAGGGTGAACCAACGGTAAAAAGAAGACCTTTCTCTCTGTCTCTCTCTCTCACTGTCCACTCTCCACTCTGCCTTTCAAAAAGAAAAAAGAAAAAAAAAGAGCGCCAGCTGTTCAGTTCACATGGGCGCCTACAAGCATGATACACACACATGCGTACAAGTATATGTGTGCACATGTAAACACGACACGTGCAGCTTCGCTCATTCCATTGGCAAGGCTAACTTTGGTCTCCCTTATACACCGAGGTCAGCCCTTAAGTGGCATGACTCAGACCAAGTCCACTGACCACTGGATGACGGAACAGCCAGAGGCCAGCCTTTGACCCATGATGTCACCTGCCCCAAGCACACATGCTGACCCATGTGAGGCTCCTGTCCAGACGGGACGTTGTGTGCTGCAGGAGCTGACGTGGAGGGAGGGCCACAGAGAAGCCACTGGGAGAGTGGGTGCTGGCAGGTCAGGGCTGGGGAAGCAGCAGAGCTGTGAGGGCGGGGCCCGGAGCAGAGGGAAAGCCACGGGAGGTCCCCACGGGGAGAGAGTGGAGTAGCCCGGAGCTGAGCGGTCAGCAGTCACCAGTGCCGGCCTGAGCAGAGCCCTCAGACCGGCTGAACCTGGGGATGCCCTTGGCCCAGAGACAGTCCCAGGTCTGTGTGTGACACTGCACTGTCTTGGGGAGAGCTGGGGAGCCCCGGCTGTTCTGGGCCAAGGAGGCCCTCGGTCCTCCAGGCCAGCCTGCTCTTTGCCTTGGTCTTGTGCATGTCCATCTGAGGGCCTCGTGGACGCAGAGCGGAGGCCACGGGAAACCCACCTGGCGACAAACTCTCGAGGAGTTCCGGGAGCCAGCCTGGCCTGCAGGCGGTGAGGGGGGAGGGCCCACCGGAAGCTGAGAGCCAGGTGAACCTGACAGAGAGCTGCCGCTGCCAGGAGCGGCTGCCCCAAGGGCCAGGTGGGCTGTGCCTGGGGCCCCTCTTCAGCCACTGTCAGCTATGCAGGAGCGACCCGCCAGGGCCTTCCTCCTACTCCCCCAGGGCCTTCCCCCACCAATGACAGAAGCTTCGGCAGCCCAGGGTGGTCACATACCCTGCCCAGGAGCTTGGGGAGGGGCCGTCCACTCCGTGACGTCCCACCCCTCCTGGCCACAGTCCCGGCCCACTGCCCCGCCGGCCAAACGGTGCCCTCACTGAGTGCTGTCTCCCCTCCCCGCCCTCCTCCCAGGATCTGCCCAGGCCTTGGGGGAGGCTCCAAAGGGACCTCTCAGAAAGTCCCTCCCTCCCTGGAGTCTCCCGCCAGCCAGCCCCACCCACGGCCCCCACCAACCCGGGAGCCGCTCTCACCAGGGGCATACTACTGCCAGACACTTTCAACACTTCAACTCACACACACACCTCCCACTGACACACATGCATCCCACACATACACACTTCACACCCCACACAGACAGCTCACATGCGCTCCTATACACACTCATTCACACCCAATGGACTCATTCACACGCCAGCACCCCACACTCCCACACATTCACAGCAGCACCTCACACTCCCACGCATTCACACATCAGCGCCTCACACTCCCACGCAGCTCAGTGGTCAGAAAGCCCTCCTGCATGTGAGGAGCGTTTCAGAGGCCGGGTCGGGGTCGCAGGGCAGGGCCGCTCTGCCTCCCCGCGCCCCCTCCGTTCCTGGGCTCCCTGGGTGCGGAGGCCCTGACCGGAATCCGCCGCGGGAGCGCTCCCCCGCCGCTGATTGCCCGCACAACCGCCGGAGGCAGGCGCGGGCCGACTGCCCGTCGCAACGCAGAGCTCAGAGCTGTGCCCTCACCCAGACCACTCGGGAGGGCGCGCGGGTTTCCCCTTTGTCTTTAATTCTAGCCAGGGTCCTCTGGATGCAAGAGGGTCTGTCGGGCGGTGGAGCCCCTGAGATGCTGCGGCCGTGGTCACAGCACAGGCGACCCGTGTGTGCGGCCCCCAGTGCCCTCTCCTGCACACCCAGGAGGCTCCCCGGGACCCACCCTCCAGCTAGGGCCCGTCAGGGGGCCACCTGCTGCATGGGCCTGAGGTTGGGCGATACGGCAAAGGCACAGCCCGTGCTGTTCTGGACGTCGGTCACGGTCAGGCCCTCCCAGAGCTCGATGAGTGTCAGCCCCCTCTTCTTGTGCACGTCGAACACGGCCTTCTCAGTGATGATGCGGTCCACGCACTGCTTCCCGGTCAGCGGCATGCTGCACTTGTCCAGGATCTTGGGGCTCTTGTCCTTGGTGCAGTGCTCCATGGTGACCACCACTTTGGTCTTGTCACTGGACACCAAATCCATGGCCCCGCCCATCCCTTTCACCTTCTTGCCGGGGATCATCCAGTTGGCCAGGTCCCCGTATTTGGAGACCTGCATGGCCCCCAGCATGGTCAGCTGGATGTGTCCCCCGCGGATCATGGCGAAGGAGTCGTCGCTGGAGAAGAAAGAGCCGCCGGGCAGCACGGTGACCGTCTGCTTGCCCGCGTTGATGACGTCGGCATCCGCCTCCCCTCTGGTCGGGAAGGGGCCCAGGCCCAGGATGCCGTTCTCGCTGTGCAGGTGGACCGTGACGCCCGGGCGGATGAAGTTGCTGGCCAGCAGAGGGATGCCTATGCCCAGGCTGGCGTACATGCCGTCCTCGAACTCCAGGGCGGCGCGCTTGACGATGCGCGTCCTCGCGTCGGCGCCCGCGCAGGCGCCCGCGGCGCCCTCGGGCCGCACGGTCAGGCGCTCGATCCGCTTCTCGAACGCGTGGCCCTTGATCACGCGGTCCACGTAGATGTTGGGCACGTGGATGTCTTCCGGGCGGAAAGCGCCCACGTCCACGATCTCTTCCACCTCCACGGCCGCCACGTCGGCGGCTTTGCACATGGGCGCGTTGAAGTTCCTGGCGCTGCCCCTGAAGACCACGTTGCCCGCGCGGTCGGCCTTCCAGCCCTTGACGAGCGCGAAGTCGGCCCTGAGCGCGCGCTCCAGCAGGTAGTGGCGGCCCTCGAACTCCCTCACCTCCCGGGGCTGGCTGCGGGTGGCCAAGTGGCCGTCCGGGTAGTAGCGGATGGGGGCGCCCCCTTCCTGCACCAGCGTCCCGTAGGCCGTGGGCGTGTAAAAGGCCGGCACCCCGGCGCCGCCCGCGCGGATGCGCTCGGCCAGGGTGCCCTGCGGCGTCAGCTCCAGCTCCAGCTCGCCGGCCAGGTACTGGCGCTCGCACAGCGCGTTCTCGCCCAGGTACGAGCACACGATACGGCGGATCTGCTTGGTGGCCAGGAGGAGGCCCAGGCCGAAGTCGTCCACGCCCACGTTGCTGCTGATCACCCGCAAGTCCCTCAGGGGGGTCCCCGCAGAGGGCCCGGGAACGAGGTCCCCGGGGGATCGCCGGAGAGCCCGAAGCCCCCCGACCATGACGGTCGCCCCATCGGAGATGTCCTTCACCATCTCCACGGGGTCCGTGTAGAAGCGGGCGCGGGGCCGGGGGCTGGCGGCAAAGCGGCGGACGCAGCCCCGGCCCGCCGCGGGCCCCGAGCGGCCGGCGGGGACGCAGCGCCCGAGCGCCGACGCCAGAAGCCACAGCCGCGCCATGGTCCGCCCTACTCGAAGCCAGGGACGGGCCGTGTGCGCCCCGCGGGCGAGCCCAGCCGCCGCGTCACACAGCAAGGAGGGCACGGCCGCCCGGGGTCCCGCTCCCCACCGGGCGTGCGCACCGGACCCCAACAGCCCTTGACCCTGGCGGGAAGGGAGCTGCTTGGGCTGGAGCTGCGACCAGCCCGCTCTGTCCTGCCGGACCCAGTGGGCATCGCCTGCACTGCACTGGAGCTGCCAGGACAGAGCTGCACTGAGACCACCCTGCTCAGCGCACAGGTCCCAGCAGGGCAGAGCTGAGGCCAGGCTACCTGGGGGGGCTCCAACAGGAATCCCTCTGGCCCCGCCTGCCCCAGTGGAGCCTGGGACAGAACCGCCTCCCCCTCCAGAGCTTGCTCAGAGTCACCAAGGATGTAAGGACCCGGCCCTGCCCGGCCACGATGGTGATGACACGGAGAAGGGGACAGCCGGCCCTCCTCATGCCCCCTGCGTGCCTGGCCCCTGCACTTGTTGAGTCCCATTGGCAGCTGGGGGAGGGAGTGGCTGCCCCCCACCCAGGAGAAGCTGCAGTTTCACCCCCATCGTGCCTGGGCACCGGGTCCCCAACAGCCGCGGGAGGGGCCCCTGCTGCTGAAGGGTCTGGCCCGCCCTGCCCTCTGCATCCATCCTCAGCTTGGCCGGGTTTCCCAGCGTCTTCCCCAGCGGAGCGCCTCACATGGGGGCATGGCAGGGCACAGGTGTCTCCCAAGCTGAGAAGGCCCCCGGGTCCCCAGCTCTCTCCAGCCACACCCCACTCCCTGCTGCCGCTCCCCAGTCCCCTCCGCCTGTCTCCCTGTCTCCCTCCAGCTCCACACTCAGGCTCTGTTCCCACACTCCGCTGCGCTCTTGGGCAGCAACCTCCGTGTGACCAACTCTGGCCGCTGCTCTGCCCACGTCTTTAGCGCTCCCAGCCGGACACAGGGGCGGCTCCCTGCTTCCGGAAACTCTTTCTTCTCTTGGGCCCGGGTCCCCTCGCTCTGCAGGTCTCCTCTCCCTGACCTCGCTCTTGTCCAGCACGGTCTGCTCTCCCCACTGAGTCAGGGCTATTTTAATTTTCTACGTCTATTCAGGAAAATCTTAGTGTCACAATGTCCAGATTCTCAGGAAAACCACACCGATGGCTCAGGGAGTTCCCACACTCTGACCCAGCTTCCCTGGGGAGAAGTCAGCATCACACATTCCTGGGACACATTTGTCACAGCTAAGGAACCAGTGTCGTTGTGAGTCTACACACCGCAGTGGGTTAGATCTGCACGTTTCCCCTGACGTCCCTCGCTCCAGGACCCGCCCAGGACACCTTCTCACATTCTGCTGAGCACAAGCTAACTCCAAGCCTGGGACGCTTGCTTGTGGATTCCAGAAACTGGCCTTGGGAAAGCCAACAGAAGGGGCCAAGCAGCCTGGCCCTCCCCGGTCAGCACGACCAGGGACTGAGTTTATCCAGGGCAGTGGCTGCTTAGAGAGACACTGGAGTCTCAGCACAGTGCTTCTGTCTCAGATCTCAGCGGGACGACGCTCAGCTGTTCAGAGCGCCCTGCTGTTCCCTCCTGTGCTAACCAAGCCTTCACGCAAGTTCCTTCAGGAAGTGCGCTGACTTTGGGGATAGGCTGTTGTCAGATCTGCAACCAGCCTTAGTACGTATCTACCCCGACTTGCCACTCATCATGTCCCTGCAGCCAGCCTCCCTCCCAGGCTCCTGCACGGCCCAGCCCACCCTCGCCGGGCAGGACAGTGACCCTGACACCCCCACTCTGCCACATCCTCACCACCTGTGAATTCCCCAGCCTTGTCCTTGTCATTCTGATTGGCGCTGCTGACAAGGTGCAGACTTTGGCTATCAGAATGTCCCTGGTTTGGGTTGGTCTGGGGTTTTCTGATGTTAGACTGGGGCTGGGGTTTGGGGAGGGAGCCCCCAGGGGAAGTGTCCTTCTCACCACCTCCTGTCAGGGGCGCAGGGCACCACCGCACTGATGGCGGAGGTGGTGCTTGTCAGCTTCCTCACCCCCCTGCTCTGTACCTCCAGGGAGCAGGTCACCGCGCACGGTCGGTCCCCACGGAAGCCGACTCCTTTAGAGTGCAGATCTCAGAGGGCTTCCAGAACCTGAGCCGCTCCTGCCAGCCTCTGCGGCTGTGAATCCAACAGACCGCCCTCGGACTCCAACATCCGGCCTGGTCTGCCTGGCCCCAGCGACCCCTGCCGCCCTCCCACTCCCATCTGCTTCCCCTCCCTCCCCACCCACCCCACCCCCACAGCCACCCCTCGTGCTTCCTGGGGCTCCTACCCACCACCTGGAACAAAGGAGGCTCAGCCCAGAGCTCCTGTGGGTGAGTGGGGAGCACCTCGTGGTCTGTAGATGAGGAAACTGAGGCTGAGGACGTGGCAGGACCTCGGCTCACTGCTTGCAGCCCAGTCACTCCCCCCACCCTTAGGCCCAGATCCTGCCGGTCAGGAGTGGGGGGCCAGCCCACGCCAGGGCCTCCTGCTGGGACCTCACCGTGGACCTCACTGGCATCCCTGAGGGCACAGCTGAGAAGGCGCTGCGTGCCAGAAGCCCCTGCTGGGACAGCTCTGAGGAGCCCGGAGCCCGGAGCCCAGCCCCTAGCCTCACCGTCCTCCGTCTCCACATAGAGGCGGAGTCCCAGGTCCTTGTGACGGCTCAACAGCCAGCGGTCACTGGCTGCCGTGACGTCCAGCACCAGCCAGCCCTCGTCCCCAGCCTGGAGCGTCTGAAGATCCAAAAAGAACAAGTCAGACTCCCTGTGGACACGAAAGAACAATTAACCGAGGGCCACCAGCTGCCGCGTGCGTTCGTGCCCGCGTGGGGGACGTTCCCCGAGCACCTGCCCCGCCTGGCTTGGGCTGGGCCCCTCTGTGCCTTGTCTCATGGAACCAACCCTCCGTGGTGGTCTGTGTCTGTACACTGGGGAAACTGGGGCTCAGGGGCTCAGTCACCCACAGCCCCACAGCCAGGCTGCCGGGGGGCGGGGCCTGAAGCCAGGACAGCGGCTGGGGCTCTTCCCACGGAGCTGAGCGGCCTGGGGCTGAGCATCTCCCTGTCTCAGGCTTCTTGTTCTCTCGGGAAGCCCCCCCCCTCCTCCAGGAAATGCGCCCCCCGCCCCCGCCCTGCCCAATTGGACTGGACACAGCTCCTAGGCCTCGACGTTGACACTGAGGCCGTGTGGCATGGCGAGGCCGGGCTGAGGGAGGCACCTGTTGGAGTGCTCCTGGACCACCTGGAACGTGCTGACGTGCAGGGTCCTGTTGACCAGCTGCGTGCTGGGCTCCTTGTAGATCCGGAACTCGGCAGCTGTCACCGCCTCCCCCGCTGGGATCTGAGTCAGGTCGAAGAGAAACTCCTTCCAGTGGGGCTCCTGGCGGCCCAGGGCGTGGTCGCGCTCCACTGAAAGATGAAGCGGGAGTGGGCGGTCACCGGGGCGGGGGCACTGGGGCAGGGCCTGAGCAGCCTGGGTGGGGTGGCTTCCTTCCCAGCACCTGGCTGGCTCTGGGGGTGTAGACCGGGCTCCACGAGGTTGTGTAGTGAGGAGCTTGGCAGGTGACCAGCGGGCCCTAAGCCCCAAACAGCAGTCTTGTCTCCTGTCCCCCCTCAGCCTCCTGCACTCCCTGGGCCCCACAGATGAGACAGGGGACAGGCCCTCCTCTGGCCTCCCAGGCTAAAGGGGAGGTGGACACCAGACCCAAGGCCACAGCACCCAAGGACACCCGGTGGGCAGGGAAGTCACTGCCCGCATCTCAGGGGGACGGGGTCATTCCGGGTCACCCCGTGGGCCTCCGTGGGAGGTGGAGGAGGGGAGATCTCTGGCTGACGGCTGGGCCGGCTGTGAGGGATGGCTGAGGCTTTGCCGCAGTGTCCAGAGAGGGCGCTGCAGAGGACATGCCGGCAGAGCCAAGGCCAAGAGTGGAAGGACCTGGGGCTGGGAGGGAAGAGCACCGCGAGGACAAAGGCCCAAGTGCATTCTGGGGAGCGAGGTGAAGGAGGAGGTGTGGGAAAGGCAGGTGGGAACAGGGAGGGGGTGACAAGCTTCTGGAAAGAACCAATCGAGGGCCCGGCTGTCCGAGGGTCCCCGCTGGCAGCATGGCAGCATGTCAGCCGGCTTCAGGGTGCAGATGACTTTTGAATGGGCCTTGAAGGACGGGGTGGCGATGCAGCGGCTGGTGGAGGTCAGGGAGGGGGCTCTCGGCAGAGGGGCTCTGTGCACAGTGTGGGGGTGCTGCAGCGGCCCACAGATTGAGGTGTGGGTACAGCAGGGGTCTGGGTCTGTGGGGAAAGGGGTCAGACTCCCCTGGAAGGAGGGAGCCTGTGCCTCTGGCCAGTGGGGAGCCTGGGGGTCTGGGGCTGCAGGGGAGCAGGGGGCTCTGAGTGGCTCATAGGAAGACCCCGTGCAAGCAGAGGTCAAGGGCAAGCTGGAGGTGGACTGCAGTGGGGGCCTGGGTGGGGCCGGTCCAGCACTCTGGGCAGAGGCCGTGGTTGCGGGACACATCCCACGCTTCCCCAGCTGCCCGAAAGTCCGGGACAGGATATTTAGGGCAACCTCACTTGAGCAGCCTGTCACTTTCAAATGCTAAAATCTGTGTTTCCGGAAAGCAGGGGTGGGAGCCGCCCAGCCCTCCCCAAAACCCAGCACTGAGATTTTAATGATATGTTTGTGAGTCTCTTTAAAAATTCTCTCTCTGGCTACTGGGCTCAGGGACCACAAGGCAGGCTTTTTAAAAGCACCAGGCTGTGCGGCCCTGGGCGGATGTGGGGAGCACTTCCTGTCCTCGCGGCGGGGACCTGGTCCAGGGATGGACAGGCACACAGCTGTGCTGGGCGGGTCAGGGGACAGGCGGGCGTGTCTGGGCTGGGGCAGATGGCGGGCTTTCAACCAGTCCAGGGAAGAGGAGAATAGGAGGTGCATTGTCCGACAGCACCTGGGGCTTCCTGAAGTTTCACTTTCCGGTCAGAACAAAACTGAATTTTCTTTTCTGAAAGTCACTCTCGTTTATTTTATTTTGGAAGTCACTCTCTCCTCTATTCGACCTATTCTGGGCACTGGGAATGCAGGAGTGAATAAAACAGATCAGATCTCTGCACTGGTGGAAGGTACAGTCTAATGGGGAGAGAGAACAGAATCCACAAGTAAAACACAGGCTATCATTTGTCTTAGTGCTGTGAAGACGATGCAGAGCACTGTGGGTTGAGGAGTAACAGAGAAAGGGTGTGTTACATGTGCTGCTCGTAACGGCCAACTTTGTGAAAGAAACAGGTACGATTAGACACGGCCATGCTCACACGCTGCTGACGGGAGCGCTATGTGGAGGAACCTCTCAACACCTAGCCAAATAACAAGTGAATTTACCCCATCGTTTTTTGTTTGTTTGTTTTAAAGGTTTATTTTGTTTATTTGAACGTTGGCATTTACAAAGTGAGAGAAAGAGAGACAGAGAGATCAAGACCTTCCAACCACTGATTTACTCTCCAAATGGCCACAACAGCTAGGACTGGGCCAGGCTGAAGCCAGGAGCCAGGAGCTTCCTCCTGGTCTCCCACGTGGGTACAGGGGCCCGGGCGCATTAGCGAGGAGCTGGATCAGAAGTGGAGCAGCTGGGACTGAGGGCTCGAACCAGCACCCGTATGGGATTCCGGCATTGCAGGTGGCAGCTTAACACGCTAGGCCACAACACCAGCCCTAATCTACCTTTTGATACAACTCCAAAGACACACTTAGCAAAAACGTGAAAAGATGTAGCAGAAGGCAATTCACTGGGCGCAGGAAAGAAACCAAGCTCTATTTGGATCCAGAGAGGTGCTGCTCATAACCCCAAAGACGAAAATTCAAAGACAAAACTTCCCAAAACCACATTCCTAAACAATTAAAATCCCAAATGTTGAAACCCTGAGATCCCGAATCCCCAAAGCCACAATTCCCATGCTGAAAGGCCACATTAGAAGGGTAGAAAGCCACACTCTAGGGAAGGGATTTGCTGCATCATATGGGAATGATGAAGATGTCAGTTTAAATATGCGCCATTTGTCTGCATTGCCTTTCTTTCCAGATGATGAAATGCCGGGAGTCCTCAATGAATTAAAGCCAGTGAGGGGCTGGCCTTGTGACGTAGTGGGTGAAGCCACCAACTGCAGTGCCGGCATCCCATATGGGCACGGGTTTGAGTCCCAGGTGCTTCATATCCGATCCAGCTCTCTGCTATGGCCTGGGAAAGCAGTGGAAGATGGCCCAAGTCCTTGGGCCCCTGCACCCACATGGGAGACCAGGAAGAAGCACCTGGCTCCTGGCTTCTGATCGGCTCAGCTCCTTCCATTTCAGCCACCTGGGGAATGAACCAGCAGATGGAGGATCTCTCTCTCTCTCTCTCTCTCTCTCTCTCTCTCTCTGCCTCTGCCTCTCTGTAACTCTGCCTTTCAAATAAATAAATAAATCTTCAAAAAAAAATAAAATAAAAAAGGAAGCCAGTGAAGTTACTAACTGGTTAGCAAAGAATTATGTGCACGGTACGTGTTGCTGTTGGATCACCAGTAGTGTTGCCACTAAATTGGTGGTGTGTATATGAGTGTAGAATGGATTTCTGATAGTAGTATGGAAGATGGGAAAATTTAATAGGGAATGCTCATGTTGTATATTAATCACAGTAGAATTTCAAAAAGAGCAGTGCCATATAGAAAATGAATGTGAACATATGTTCTGAGGAGAGCCACATCCTAAAAGAAAAAACAAAATTAAACAAAAATATCCCAGCAACTATGCATCTTGATGCAAGACGCTAAGATTCGGTTAATGATGGTGGAGACCGGTCTGCTCCTATAGCCTTTGCTGTGTAATTGCCTTTAATTTACTCCTGAAACACCCTTTTTCACAGGGTAAATTTTCTTTCGAGGTCATTTTTTAGCTCTTCTCCCCATTATTTTAAATTGCCAGCATTATGTTTTTCTAATTCTCTATCCTATGCATTTCATCTTGCCATCATTTCCGATACTGGAGGTATACAACGGGTAAGGACTTTCAGGAGTGTTCCAATTCATTTTGCGACTTGGTTGCAAGTGTGAGTCTGGAAGTGCATTATCGCAAGGCTGATGCTGTGCGCAAGCCACGCTGTGCATGTGGGAACACCGGAACCCCCTCAGCAAATTAAGGATGTCCTTTGGCACGTCTGTATTTGTGAAAGACACAGTCTTTCAAGATCTCGGCTCTTTGGGCAACTGCGTATGTGGCAGTGATCTGCTGACCTGCGGATCATTAAAAAGACTTGAGGTCTGACAGTATCGCACGTGGTCAGTGACAAAGCTGGGCGCACACAGTTACCAAGAGCGGTGGCATGCATTTCACTTTTTAACCTGTTCATGAACACGGTGTATGCACCTGCTTATAACAATACACTATTATCTTCTGTTTATAACTATATACTTATAAAAATATGACTGTTGTTCATGCATGCAAAAACATGTTATTATTGTGTAAAATGGCTTGTTTTATTGGGTAAAGTGATGTGTTTTTGTATGTTTCTAAAAAAAAAAATAACTCCCCTTTAGGGGCCTGAGTTGTTGTGTAGCAGCTAAAGCTGCTGCCTGTGACACTGGCATCCCAGATGGGCTCCAGTTTGTGTCCCAGCTGCTTTCTTCCTATCCAGCTCCCTGCTAATGGTCTGGGAAAAGCAGCAGAGGATGCCCCAAGTGTTTGGCCCCTGCTACCCATGCAGGAGACCCAGATGAGGCTTCTGGAATTAGGAATCTGGTTTTGGCCTGGCTCAGCCCTGGTCATTGTGGCCATCTTCGGGGGGTGAACCTGTAGACGAACTATCTCTTTCTCTCCCTCTGTCTCTTCTTTTCTCTCTGTAACTCTTTTTTTTAATATTTATTATTTATTTGAAAGGCAGAGTTACAGAGAAGAAGAGGCAGAGGCAGAGAGAAGTCTTCCATCCACTGGTTCACTCTCTCTGGTTGCAACAGGCAGGACTGGGCCAGACTGAAGCCAAGAGCCAGGAGATTCATTTGAGTTTCCCACTTAGGTGCAGGGGTCCAAGCACTTGGGCCATCCTCTGCTGCTTCCTCAGGCACAGTAGCAGGGAGTTGGATCAGAAATGGAGCAGCTGAGACTTGAACCAGCACCCATATGGGATGCTGGTGATGCAGCTGGAGGCTTAACCCACTACGCCACAGCACCAGCCCTAATCTGACTTTCAAATAAATAACCTTTTCTTTTTAAAAATTCCTTTTGCAAAATATAAATGTCTTCTAAAGAACTTTTTTCCTAGAATTATCTTTTTTTAAAGTACATTTTTTTTAAAGATTTATTTTATTTATTTGAAAGACGAGTTATAGAGAGGTAGAGATAGAGAGAGAGGTCTTCCATCCATTAGTTCACTCCCCAGATGGCCACAATGGCCAGA